CCCCCCCCCTCCGGGCAAGCTCAACGAGACGGTCATTGGGTCGTTGCCGCTACGCAATGTCAACCAAAGTGGCCATTCCGTTTGGCTCGGGCGGATGAATGTCAATCGAATTGGCGCGCTCACGTACGTACTTGCCGTCTCTCTTCTTTCCCAGGGGCCGCCGCCGCGGCCGCGGACGCAGAGGCCTCCGAGAAGCAGGCCGTCGCCGAGGTCGCCGTCGACGGACCGGCGGCGACAGCCTCGAGCAGGCTGCGGACGAGGGCCGCCTTCTGGATCCTCGGGCTGTGCAACAACTATGGCTACGTGGTGATGATATCCGCCGCGTACGACATCCTCGACAAGAACTTCGGGCTGGCGGAGGTGCGTGTCAAGGGGTGCGTTCGGATAAAAGGACACCAAATGCAGTTTTAGTGTCTAAAATTTAGACTGGCACAACTCCTGGTACCCCTACTTCATCTGTATCTTGACTTTAGCAGGCCGTCGAAACTGCAGGTTGTACAAAATGTTTACATACCCTTTAGGGTCGGTAGGTCGCACAAACAGTACAAACGACGCGAGCCCGCGGGGTGTTCCCCAATGGGGAGGGGGGGGGGGTCTCACACATAAACACACACCTTTATGCCTTTTAAGGCCAACCATCGTCGGGAAACTTATTAAACACAAATTGTAGATTTATTTGAAATAAAATAAGTGGGTGCCCAACTACCACCTCAGCCGCTCGAACACAAACCTTAATGTTGTTGTAACCTTGTTGTTGTCTTCACACTAAATGTCGCCTTTGTGCGATGTTGTCCTCCTGCCCAGGCCGTGCCAGTGCCCGGGCCGCGACACTGCAACCTCCTCTCGACGGGTGCCATCCTCCTCGCCGACATCCTGCCCAGCCTGGTCGTCAAGTCCCTCTCGCCGTTCATGCCGCTCTGGATAAAGTAAGCCTTCTCGTTCAAGGACCGCGATGGCGTACGGACGTTGTTGGCCGACCATTGGTGGACTACCGATGTCTTGGCCCAAGAGGGAGCCACCCTGGCTGACGAAACCAGACCAAAATGGAAACGGTAAAAGGGTCTACTGACATAGCATGACAATCGCTCAAAAAACCGCTCTTTAGGTCATAAAATGTCAGGAAAATTCCCGCTCGCGGAAATCCGGGAATTTTATATTGTTTGGTCGCCACTACAAACCTGAATATTAACCAGCAAATTCCTGACCCTCGGCGCCCAGGTCATGCTCCGCTATCGACACTACCACGGTGGCAGACCCATGGCGGATGCGATTAGTTGCCCCCCCTCCCCCCCGCGACCCATACGCCCTTCGCCCGTTCGTCATAATACGTGTATTGGTGACCGAGTACGTTAGGTAGCCTGCCTTACGCCCGATCACGTCGACGAGTGTCTGCGAGGGGATGGTAACTCATTAAGCATCCGACATTACTGTGACAACGCTACACTTACGCCGTGTTGGCACAAAATTGGTAGCTGTCGACGTACCAATAACTTTGATCCATTTAGAGCAATCTTTTTGGCGTCCTTGAACGCGCTCTAACTCGGCGTCCTCCCTCAGCCTGCGGCTCTCCCTGGTCGTGGCCTACAGCGTGGTCGGCTTCACCCTGGTGGCGCTGGCGGGCGAGCTGTGGGTGGCTCTGCTCGGGGTGGCCGTCATGTCCGCGGCGCAGGGGCTGGGCGAGGCGACGCTGCTCTCCTACACCGCCTTCTTCAAGGACAAGAGCGTCATCGCCATGTGGTCGTCCGGGACGGGCGCCGCCGGCGTGCTGGGCTCCGTCTCGTACCTCGGGCTGTCGTCGCTGTTCAGCCCGCGGGACTCGATCCTGTTCATGAACGTGGCCCCTGCGGCCACCGTGTTAGCGTGAGTTGAGCGTCGCGAATCGCAAGTTTACTCGTTGCGGTCGTTGCACGAGAACACTATCCCCCCGCTAATCACCAAACGTGCTCCACAGCTTTTGGGGGCTGCTCGTGCGCCCGCGTATCGACGCCAAGGACGAGCAGCACGACGCCAAGGAGAAGGTCAAGGACGGCGTCCCCATGTTCGCATCCACCGCGTCCTTCACCGACAAGCTGGGCGACATCCCGCCGCTCCTCAAGTACATCTGTCCCCTGTTCGCCGTCTACTTGTTCGAGTACTTCATCAACCAGGGCTTGGTGAGCGCGTGATGCGGGCGCTTTCGCTTCGCCGTCACTACTCCGTCTGAAGTACTCATTTGTGTTCCAGTACGAGCTGATCCGGTACGACGTGGAGGGGCTGTCGCCGGCGCAGCAGTACAAGATGTTCCAGGCGCTGTACCAGATCGGCGTGTTCGTGTCCAGGTCCTCGGGCGGCTACATGCCCATCGACCGCATGTGGATCCTGGCCATGCTCCAGGCCGCCAACGTGGTGTACTTCACGCTCGAGGCGATCTACCAGTTCTCCGGGTCGGTGTGGGTCGTCGCGGTGCTGGTGGTGTGGGAGGGGCTGCTGGGCGGCGCCGCCTACGTCAGGACCTTCTTCTGCATCTCCAACAAGGTGAGCGTGTGCGGACCAACACCCGCAGGTGAAGGGCGAGGGCACAGGGGGACAGCGCGTGTTCTGACTCCCTCATCTGTTCCAGGTGGAGCCCGAGAAGAGGGAGTTCTCCATGGCGATCTCCTCGGTCGCGGACGCGCTCGGCATCTCGGCCGCCGGGCTGCTCGCCATCCCCGCGCACAACCTGCTGTGCGCGCTGCCCTTGGCCGGCGCCGGCCTGCGGCTCAGTCGGTGAGGCGCGCGAGGTGCGTGCTTCCGTGAGAAACGCGTGCCAGCGCAGCTAGCGCCGCCCGGGCCCGGCCGACGGTGCAGCGTGAAGTGCGGCGCAAGTGATACCGCTAGGCCTACGGCAGCTGGCCTGCCTCACGGCCGCTCGTTTACATACGTACTCTGTGAGAGACGCCAAGTGACATGCACCGGCGCTGGCTATCGCTGGAGCTGCCGCTGACCCCATACTCGGACGGCGCGCGCCGTACCTGCTGGACCCAGGTGCAGCACGGGCGCGCGCCGCCGGCGCACAGAGCGCCGGGCCGGTAGGCAGCCCAACCGGCACCACCGCGGCGCGGGCTACAGACTAGTGATACGAGAGAGTGTCGATGTGTGGGGGTGTGTGTGTGTGGGGGGG